GCTCCCAGAAGTGTCCCTACAGCCTTCAGAGTGACATTCCGGAGGCGTGGCAGCGGGAAAGATAAATATCACCTCTTAGTTTGCAGGTTCACTTCCTGTGGAGACTTATTTCATGGCAGGATCGCTTTAAGCCAACCTAAGTGACACCATCTTGAAATGTTCTAAGTCTTCGATAATAAAAAAAAGTTTATACAATTGTATTGAAAAATGTTTGCGCAATCTTGATTTTATTTTTGCCTTACGCAGCATACGTGGAGATGTTGAAAGAACTCCGGGCATTTGAATGATTAACCCTTGCAGTGGGTCTACATGTGATTGCATGCAGTCAATGTTCGGCAATCATTTTTGGATCTTCTTCAACAAGAGTACCGACAGGGCCGCCTACAGTTCGAGTTTCAGCCAAAGCAGTAGGACTCGGACAAAATTTGGAGCCATGTATGATCAGTGTGTCACCTTGCCCATTCAGGGCAAATACATCCCCAGTATCAGCTGGTGTTGGACACTAGAGGGAGAACTGACTTCACTTCCTCATTCACGTGACCATGTTACTGTTGGACCTGATAGATATCCGGTGTTCTTGCAACTTCCTGTGCACTAAAGTCTCTAACAATGTTATGAGCTTGTCAAGCTATCTTCTATGAACTACATAACTCCTCCTCCCTATGTAATGGAGATGAGGAAATTGTAGTCTGTATCAGGAGAGCAACCCAAGTACGGAGAGGGAGTATTTTCATGCTTGGACAGAATGTGTGTACTGGCAGGTAGATGAGAAATTGACCCCCCCGCTCCACATAGCAGCAGAAGAAGGGAGATCCTTGCATTGCAGATCCTCAGGTACAGCTTCCTCTCCAGGAATGAAAACAGTGACCAGCCTAGTTGTGACATCACCAAAGCTGGTGATGTTGATTAGCAGTCAGAGGCAGCAGTGCCTGAGATGATCTCACACTGCGGATATACAGCTACGAGGCTACAGAACAGACGTGCCTAAGCACAGAAAGTGAATGCGATTGTTTGCGGGAGGAATTCAAGGCAAAAGGAACAACTTTTCAGGGTAACTAACATTTCTAGATGTTTCCTCTGAGACGGCCAATTTTTACTTTTTGAATTTAGGTCCACTTTAACCTGTTATAGATCGTGACGTACAACGCATCTCTGCTGCATCATATACAGTGACATGCTTGCCTCAGGGTTGGCCAGTGGTATCCACCTGCACTGAATGGGAGCCTTGTCTGTGATGGGTTGCTACTTTCGGGACAGGTGCCTTTTATATCTACAGGTGAAACTCGAATAATTAGAATATCGTGCAAAAGTAATTGCAGTAAGTGCTGCAAAAGGGGTCCAAACCAAGTACTGAGTACATATGCATGCGTGTACTTTTCAGAGGTCCGATATTGTTCTATGTACAATCCTTGTTTTATTGATTGCATGTAATAATCTACTTTTTTGAGGTTGTGGATTTGGGGTTCTTGGGGTTTTCATGAGCTGTAAGCCATAATCATCACAATTATGACAAATCACGGCTTGAATTATCTTGCTTTGCATGCAATGAGTCTCTCTCATATATTAGTTTCACCTTTTAAGTTGCATTAGTGAAATAAATGAACTTTGCACGATATTCTAATTATTTGAGTTTCACCTGTAGTAGGATAGTTTCTCCTATGTTGACTCATTTGATGAGCCTTCTATAACCTTCACTGGCCTGTATAGGAATCGTAGCTTTGGAATCTCTTTTATGTTTAATAAGTCTAATAAAATAGGAACTGTTACCTGGATCTGGGACTTGCGGTAATCCACAGAAGATGTAGGAGACGTTTTGGTCACTAGCCAGGGCAAGAATCTCCAATGCGCCCACCTGCCCAAAACTGAGACAGGCACCAGGACAAGGTCCTCCAATGCACCCACCTGCCCAAACTGAGACGGGCACCAGGACAAGATCCTCCAATACCCCCACCTGCCCAAACTGAGACGGGCACTAGGACAAGATCCTCCAATGCACCCACCTGCCCAAACTGAGACGGGCACTAGGACAAGATCCTCCAATGCACCCACCTCCCCAAACTGAGACGGGCACCAGGACAAGGTCCTCCAATGTGCCCACCTGCCCAAACTGAGACGGGCACCAGGACAAGATCCTCCAATGCACCCACCTCCCCAAACTGAGACGGGCGCTAGGACAAGATCCTCCAATGCACCCACCTGCCCAAACTGAGACGGGCACCAGGACAAGATCCCCCAATGCACCCACCTCCCCAAACTGAGACGGGCACCAGGACAAGGTCCTCCAATGTGCCCACCTGCCCAAACTGAGACGGGCACCAGGACAAGATCCTCCAATACACCCACCTGCCCAAACTGAGACAGGCACCAGGACAAGATCCTCCAATACACCCACCTGCCCAAACTGAGATGAATGGAGCTTGCACAGCTAAGTATACAGTGGCTAGGTAACATACATTCATTTAGGGTGACACCCCAACATACAATTACAGAAGGTGCCAACTGCCCCACTGTCACGTACCTGGTAAGAGCCTGAGATGACGAGGGTGGCCTCCATTGCTTCTCTTGTCCAGACACCCCTGGTAATGAATGTGCCCAGGTCAGCCCAGGTCAGTAACGTGCAGGCAAGGCAGTGCAGAATCAGCAAGCAGAAGGAAGGTCCAGATCAAGCCAAGGCCAGACGCAGGCAGCAATCAGCAGAGTCCAAGGCAGTGTGGGGTCCTACCATCTGCTGGCCTCCGCCTTCCTGGCCCAGTCACTACCCATCATCAAGATCTTAGCATGGCTCCAATCAAAGGCTCAGGTTGGCAGCTAAGAACAGTCACTGCAACCCCAGAGAGTCCTCTAGACAATGGAATTCTATTAAAGTGTATATTTGTTTCTCCCATCCTGAGGAGCTCATAAAGTGAACCCAGCACTCAAATTCCCCCATCAGATATACCTGACGGCTCCTATAGCGATCGGCATTTCACAGGCGTGCTCTCATCATTTTCTTCTATGCTGGCCCAAACAGATCCTCCGATTGGGCTGCATGATGAAACTCCTCTCTGGCCGACAGGGTTGAAGCTGAGAAAAGAATGCTTGCTTGCCATCGGCCAGAGAGGACTCGTGAAGCCGAATCGGAGATGTTGTCAGGGATCGGGATGACATTTCACACAACTGTGCACTTCAAACTTTGTGTCAACAGTTTGGGGAAAATACTTTGCTGTTCCAGATTGACTGTGTCCAAAGCCAGCTCCATAAAAACATGGTTCACCAGCATGGTGTGGAGGAACCTGAGTGGCCTGCATGCTGAGCCCTGATCTCAACCCTATCGAACATCTTTGGGATGAATTTGAACACCAATTATGAGTAGCCACCTGATCGGGATCATTGAGTCCTGCTGACACCTAGACACAAGATACTAAGTGCCGATACCACTACTTTACATTTGCGACTGCCGAGGTCGCTAGCAAGCGTGGGACCTCAAGCAGCTGCATCTTCCTGTGAGCCGGGGGCACCTGTAAACTGGCGCAAGCCCACAAATCTCCTCCACTGTCATCCTTACACCACCTTGCCTACCTCTAGACCCCTGGTGAGACACCACACAGCCCGCACAGCACTCCTGAAAGCCTGCATAGCCCACCTGAGACCCCACACAGCCACCTTTGAGCCCACATAGCCCACCTGAGAGTCCAAATGGCCCACCTGAGAGTCCAAATGGCCCACCTGAGAGTCCAAATGGCCCACCTGAGAGTTTGCATGGCCCAACTGAGAGTCCGAATGGCCCAACTGAGAACCCGCACAGCCTTGGTGAGAGCCTGCTCAAGCCACCCTGGAGACATCAGGTGCCACCCAGGAACAAGTAGCTTAATTTAATTTTGTATTCCTGTATAATGTATTGCTGGGATTTGTAGTCCTCTATAGCTGGTCTCCTTAGTACCTCCCCTGGCTGCCTCTCCTTGCTTTCTCCTCTATAGTTTAAAAATAATTGATCTGCGTGGCGCTAGAGTGTTCAGGTTTTACTTGAAGAAAAGGTGTCAACCCTAATTATGAGCCAGATCTTCTTGTCCAACATGGTATGGAGGAACCCGGGTGCCTGTAACCTGAGCCCTGACCTCAACCTTATCAAACACCTTTGGGATGAATTGGAACACCAGTTACAAGCCAGGTCTACATGTCCAACATGGTGTGGAGGAACCCGAGTGCCCATTATGAGCTGCTCCCACCATCCCTGTGCTGAGTCCCCTGGTCTGTACACCTCCTGTGCCCATTATGAGGAGCTCCCACCATAACTGTGCTGAGTTCCCCAGTCTGTATACCTGCTGTGCCCATTATGAGGGGCTCCCACCATCCCTGTGCTGAGTTTCCAGGTCTGCACACCTCCTGTGCCCATTATGAGGGTTTCTTACCATCCCTGTGCTGAGTTCCTGGGTCTGTACACCTCCTGTGCCCATTATGAGGGGCTAATTTTGTTTATTGAAAATTCTTACAAACAAGAACTTATATACAAGAAAACAATAATAAATAAATAAAACATATTTAAATTCCCCGGTCTACACACCTCCTGTGCCCATTATGAGGGGTTCCCACCATCCTGCTGGATTTTATATTACAGGGAATGGAACAGGAGCTGGGACACACAAATGTGGATGAAAACACCCCAAACTCCCTGGAGGACAGGAACAGAGTCAGGAACTATAAAGGAAGATCTCATTGTTAAAGACGTATAAAAAGTCAGGGGCTGACTCCGCCCACCTGGCTACACCTATTCCTAAATACCAACAAAAAAAACCCCACTGAATTCCTGATTTCATTGAATGTAATGAACCAGAACCAGGGCGATTCATACTGTAACATAGTGCAATTTTAATACAGGGCATGATCATGTGATATTCCTGTGGACAAATGGGAAACCACAGAAAAATACTGGCCCCGCCCAGCTTGGATGTGAAGTCATCAGTGCATGCCTCGGCTTCCTTCCTGCTTTTAGAGGAGAGCTAGGGACGGTCACCTGTGTGGACTCTCATGTTTGAATAAAGTCGATTTATAGTTGAAGCCTCTTTCACATTCAGAACACGTATATGGCTTTTCACCAGTGTGAGTCATTTCATGTCCAATGAGATCTAAACGAGAAGCCCCTCCCACATTGAGAACATGAATACGGGTACTCGCCCGTGTGGACCGTCTGGTGCTCGACCAGATGTGATTTTCGCTTAAAACCTTTCCCGCACTCGGGGCATGAATACGGCCGGTCGTCAGTGTGAATTTTCTGATGTTTGACAAGATCCGGACCATCGACCAAACATTTCCCGCATTCTGGACATGAAAAGGGCTTCTCCCCTGTGTGGCTCCTCTGGTGCCTGATAAGCAGATGTTTCCAATAAAAACATTTCCCGCATTCGGAGCAGGAAAATGGCTTCTCCCCCGTGTGAACTCTTTCATGTCTCAGAAGGGCCGATTTTCGAGGAAAGCGTTTCCCGCATTGTGAACATGTATACGTTGTACATTTGCCAAACTCAGAGCACAGAGATGTTTCCACCCCTTTATGGGGATAGGAATGATCAGGGAAACACCCCACACGTGAGGAGGGATTGGATAACAGATCTGTTTGTCGGTGAGCTGCTGGATGGCGGTTTGAGTCAATGGGGTTATCTTCTAAAAAAGTGATGTCATCATCTTCTACTTCACCACCTAGAGACATAAGGTGACTTTTCTCAGCAACATTTCTCTTATATTGTCCATCTGGAAGAAATAAATAATGGAAGGCAACAACAATCAAAATGTTCCCAAATCAGCCTTGAACCTGCGCCATCTGCAGGTTGTTACTCAGCACTGCAGCTCAGGTCTCTGCTGTGCACACCTGCCCTCATTAGTGTACTTTAAAGTGAGGCCAGAACTGGTCATGCCTTGGACCATTGGTCAGCTGATTATGCTACTGGCTCTGACTATCTGTCTGAGAACATGAACTAATCTAATAGAGGTTGATGACTCCTGACTACTAGTGATTCGTCCATCTCTACCACTACCAGATGACAAACGGCTAAGGGGATTCCCCCCGATTGGACTGAACTGGCTGCCTCAGAATTACCCAAAGCTTTGACATCTCATGGGGGATCTCTGGTGTCTCCAGGACCTGTGAGAGTGAAGCCTCCTGTACTGAGATGTATGAGAGACCCCAGAGAGTGTGTGTGGGGGGAGACTGGTCACGTCTCTTGGCTGGTAACACACAATGACATGATGTGAGGAGGAGAGGCGGAGTCTAATAGAGGCTGATGGCTCCTGACTCCCCCCACTAAACACATTCCGTCCCCCCATTACTGTCTACTGATAGAGGAGGGGGGAGAAGAGGAGATTGTTGTAGTGACTGAACAAGGAGAATCTGGGAGACTTCTCTGGATTTAGTGTTTATTCCTCACCTGTGCTGATCCCTGGAGGGGTTTCCTCCTCCTTACACGGGTCATCACTGCTGACAGATATGTTTTTTGCTTCGTCTTTCATTTCAACTTTAAATTACATATTCACTCTTTAAAATACAAAACAGACATTTACTTATTACAGAGATATACTTATTACATAAGATCCATTGAGCAGATAGAAAGTAATATTCAATATTGGTAAGACCCTCAGTCCCATCTACCTGATCATCTTGAGGGATCTCCTGATGTTCCTGTGTGGAATCCCGGGAATACAGAGGACGGGGACATCTCTCTGGGGTGTTTCTGTTCCTGGACCCATCTGTAGGAAACACACACACTGACTGAATACATTGTTTCTATGTCTTTATATCAGAGGATGTGTGTATCTAGGGGGATCCTCAATACTCAAGAAATGAAAGTCTCCTCTTACCCGGTGATGTGAGGGGCGGCCGGTTCTCCATCATGACGTCCTTGTAGAGATCCCGGTGTCCTCCTAGATACTCCCACTCCTCCATGGAGAAATAGACAGAGACATCCTGACACCTTATAGGAACCTGACACACACAATGATACAGTCACCATCCAGACACATCCCTTGTCTGTTCCTGGATCATGTCCCAGAATTCCCGGCACCGCTCACCTTTTCCAACACAATGATCTTGTTAATAACTTCTAGAATCTTCTTATTGTTTTTGTCTGGTATTAAGGACTCAGATGGAGACGCCATGATGAGGCTTTGGCTCCCGATCCATTGTCCTGCCACATGGAGGTGGCTGCTACATTCCACAGGCTTATCAGATGTCTTCTGAACTATGCTGTAATCCTATTTATTAAAGGATAAAACATATTTACTATTAAGGGTAAGGAATGTACAGTCCACATATGTCCATGTGACCCAGAATCCTTCACACCTCTCCGGTCAGGTCTGTGTCTTATTAATAGAGATAAGAGTGATGTCATGTGACCTCCCAGAATCCTTCTCACCTCTCCGGTCATGTCTGTGTTATATTAATAGAGATGAGTGATGTCATGTGACCTCCCAGAATCCTCCTCACCTCTCCGGTCGGCTCTGTGATTGCTTTATTAATAGAGATAAGAGTGATGTCATGTGACCTCCCAGAATCCTCCTCACCTCTCCGGTCAATTCTGTGTTTTATTAATAAAGATAAGAATGATGTCATGTGACTTCCCAGAATCCTCCTCACCTCGCCGGTCAGGTCTGTGTTTTATTAATAGAGATAAGAGTGATGTCATGTGGCCTCCCAGAATCCTCCTCTCCTCTCCGGTCAGGTCTGTGTGTTATGAATAGAGATAAGAGTGAGGTCATGTGACCTCCCAGACTCCTCCTCCCCTCTCCAGTCAGCAGGTAGATGATCTCCAGGGTGAGGTCTAATATCTTCTCAGTCTTCTTCCTTTCCTCATCCATAACCTGTAGATCAATCATGTTTGGGGAAATGGACTCCACAGGAGAAGATCTCAGAGATTGCACAATTTAGTGCGCTGAAGTAAAAGAAGGCGACAAATATTTGAAAGACATAAGGTTGGTAAGTGATCACATTGTGAAGGCCTCCCATTGCAGTCAGCAAAAATAATTTTCAACCAGAGCTTGACCCCCCCCCTTAGTCATGTGACCAACCTGCTCTCTAGATGTCAGAACAACAGAAAAGCAAGTGAGCTCCCGTACCAACCTGGAGACAAACAAGATGGCCGCATAACTGGCCGTACAGCAGGAAGCCCTTGGTACCTTCTTCTCTTTGTCTCTTGGACTGGCCACCAGAGTCCAGAGAAAAACGCAGGATTCCCGTGTACGGTGCAGGGAGGGCAATGCTTTCTGAAAGTCAACACTTACATAACAGTATGGCTTATTTGGCATGTCAGTCTCTCTGGTGCTATGACGATCTTTCTGGTAACATGGGGTTCTCTATGGTATGTCAGTCTCTCTGGTACCATGGCAATCTTTCTGGTCACATCGGGTTCTCTATGGTATGTCAGTCCCTCTGGTACCATGACAATCTTTCTGGTCACATGGGGTTTTCTATGATACGGCAGTCTCTCTGGTACCATGACAACCTTTCTGGTCACATGGGGTTTTCTATGATACGGCAGTCTCTTTGGTACCATGACAACCTTTCTGGTCACATGGGGTTTTCTATAATACGGCGGTCTCTCTGGTACCATGACAACCTTTCTGGTCACATGGGGTTTTCTATGATACATCATTTTCTCTGGTACCATGACAACCTTTCTGGTAATGTAAAGGAATGTAAAGAATACAAAGCCGGCAATGATCTAGAAGTATGTGTTTGTAGGTTGTCATTACGAAACATTTGCAAAGGTGTGTTTGTTGTTATTTGAATGATATGGGTAAAGGTCCGCTTTAAAGTTTCTACAAGCTTTTAAATCAGAAGGTGTACTTAGTTTTTCACACTTGGCTACTCCATTTTGGCTTTATCTTTGTAATAATAATTATTTATTTTACAATTAATTGTAATATGTCATGTGTTGTTGTTCAGCTGAGGTTGTATTTACTAGGGATGCACTGATTTTTCCTAGACGAGTACGAGAACCAATAACCTTTCCTCAACTACTCGCCAATTCCAATTTAGGGCTGCAACAACTAATCGACATAATCAATTATTGAAAAAGTTGTCAACTTTTTAAATCATCGATTAATCGGCCTAATTAGTTGGCCCTGTTCACGGCTCCACACAAGCTGCGCGCCGCACCTCCTCCCCACCTCACGCTCGCCGCTGCCAGACCCACCCAACCGTATCCACACACCACACGCCATACCTCCTACCTGCCTCACCCCCCCTGCCCGCCCACATCCTTGATCGGCACAGGGACGCGGAGAGAAGAAGTAAGGAGGAGCAGGTGAGGGGGAGATGACAGCCGCCGATACACAGGCCTGTTCTCATAAGCAAGTTGCTGGAAGACTGCTCAGGTAAGCCTGCACTTTCCCACACATGGCGCTCTATAATGTATTGCTGGGATTTGTAGTCCTCTATACAGCGCAATGCGGAATACCATCAGCTATAGAGGACTACAAATCCCAGCAATACATTATACACTCTATGTATAATGTATTGCTGGGATTTGTAGTCCTCTATACAGCGCAATGCGGAATACCATCAGCTATAGAGGACTACAAAACCCAGCAATAGTACATTATACAGCGCAATGCGGAATACCATCAGCTATAGAGGACTGCAAAACCCAGCAATAGTACATTATACAGCGCAATGCAGAATACCACCAGCTATAATGTACTATTGCTGGGTTTTGTTGTATTCCCATTCTGCATTAATTGCTGTATAATTTTACACTTTTCATTTCACTATATATCACACTTTTTCTTTTTTACTTCCACCGCTCCAAGCTTCCTCCTGTGATGGACTACAATCTCAATACAAACTAGTAGTCCCATCACTGGAGCCATTTAAAAAAATTTATTTTATTTTTTAACCGATTAATCAAACTTAATAATCGGCTAACTAATCGATTTTGAAAATAATCGTTAGCTGCAGCTCTATTCCAATTACCGATACCTTTTTCCAAAACAATACAGGCTAATGATTTTAGGACAGTGGTGGAGTGCCAGGGCCCAGTCACAGCTGCAAACGCTGCACCCCTGGTAGTTCTGCCACTGGCTTTATTCTATAAAGGGACTACACATCTCAGCAATACATTATACAGCAATGCAGAATAATACCACCTGCTATATAGGACTACAAATCTCAGTAATGCAGAATACCACCAGCTATAGAGGACTACAAATCCCAGCAATACATTATGCATCAATGCAGAATACCAACAGCTATAAGGGACTACAAATATCATCAATATATTACGCAGCAATGCAGAATAATACCACCATCTATAAAGGACTACAAATCCCAGCAAAACAATATACAGCAATGCAGAATAATAATAAATTAATTTTATATGAGCAGCTGGTCTCCTGGAGTCTGCATGTATAAAACTCACTCTGTGGGCTGTCAAGGGCCGCAAAACATTTCAAGCCGTTAGTCAATGAAAAAGGAATCACCGCGAGGCTGGGAGGGGGCGCAGCCAGGGCCCTGG